GGCCTGGGCCTGGCCAGACCTGAAGGCGGCTCAGGACTGGGAGGGCTGGGTCCACCAAGGTCATGCAAGGCCACCCTGACCCAGCTCTGGGGTTTCAGAATCCGAATCGTGAACTTCATCCTAAACTGCAAGCCGGCAGCTGGTGGTAAGGAGGACAGGACAGGCAGGTGGCTGGGAGGGCACCGACATGGGTGTACTGGGCAGGGCCCTTCCTTGGCCTTCATGCCTCTCTGACTTGTGACTCCTTGTTACCCCCAGAGTCATTCGAGGATTTGGTGAAGGATGGGGTCTTTAAGACCAAGTTCCCATTGCACAAGGTGAGGGCTGGGCCTGCAGGGGAGGAGGGTCTGGGGCGGGACCCCAAGGCTGAGGAGCTCAGCCTGTCACTGTGACCAGGGGGAGGAAGACCTGAAGAAGACGTGGGCCCAGTGGAGAAACGTGGTCCGCAACCAGCCGATTAATGAGATCAGGTAACGCGGCCGCAAACAGCGCCTGTGCCAGACCGCACACGGGCATGCCTTCACACACCTGTGCCAGGAGACACGCCGCACCCACACGTACCCGTGCCCCTCACACACCGGGGCCAGGGGTGCGTCCCCTAGGACACACTTGTGGCCTGTACCACTCACAGCCACGCCTCTGCCCCCACTGATGCTGTCACCGCAGACACGCGGGGCCCCGCCGCCCCGTGACAGCCGCCCTGCTGCTGTGCCGTAGGAACTACTTCGGCGAGAAGGTGGCGCTGTACTTTGCTTGGCTCGGCTGGTATACCTACATGCTGGTGCCCGCTGCCGTCGTGGGCCTCGTCGTCTTCCTGAGCGGGTTCGCCCTGTTCGATGCCAGCCAGATCAGGTGGGCTGGGGCTGGGACGGGGGCTGGGACCGGGGCTGGGGCTGGGGCGGGAGGCCAGGCCCTGCATCTGGAAAGAGCCGACACCGGCCTTGCCCTCGCATCCCAGCAAGGAGATCTGTGAGGCCCACGACGTGCTCATGTGTCCTCTCGGCGACCACGGCCGCAAGTACCAGAAGCTCTCGGACACCTGCACCTTCGCCAAGGTGTGCCTCGCCGGGGTCCCTCCAGGGCCTGTGGGAGGGCTGGCTCGTCTGTCCACCGAAGGAGAGGGAGGGAGGCTGAGGCTCAGAACCCTGCAGAGCTGCCCTCACCCCCTGCTGGGGGATGCTGGGCGGGGGCCCCAGCCTCCAGGCCTCCCCCCGACCGCCGCCCCTCCCCCAGCTCACACACCTCTTCGACAACGAGGGCACTGTGGTGTTTGCCATCTTCATGGCTCTGTGGGGTGAGTTGCTGCCAGGCACCCCGGGGGGTCTCAGCGGTACTGGCCTGAGCCCCCAGGCCCACCTGCAGGCCCACCTCCTGGGTGCCATGACAGCCCGCCTGCTCTCTGCAGCCACGGTGTTCCTGGAGATCTGGAAGCGGGAGCGAGCCCGCGTGGTCCTGGACTGGCACCTGTACGGGTGGGATGAGGACCAGGTAGGCCCACCCGGTGTGTGAGGTGTGTGTCCCTGCCCAGGGTCTGCCCCGTCTGAGGCTTGTGCCCCTTTGTCCCGTCAGGAGGAGCTGGCCCTTGAGCTCATTAACTGCCCCGACTACCGGCTGCGGCTGCACCAGCACTCCTTCCTGCGCAGCGGAGTCATCCTCGTCCTGTCACTGTTCATGGTGCTGCGGGGACCCGCGGGGGGCTGGCGCGGGGGCCGGGGCAGCCCCTCACCTGGTCCTGCCCCCCAGATCTGTCTCATGATTGGCATGGCCCACGTCCTGGTGGTCTACCGCGTCCTGGCTGCCGCCCTCTTCAGCAACTTGTCCCTGCCCTTCCTGGAGGAGCAGGTGACCACAGCCGTGGTGGTTTCTGGAGCCCTGGTGCACTATGCCACCATCCTTGTCATGACAAAGGTGAGGGGCAAAAGCCAAGGGGACCATGAAGGAAAGGAGTGGTCTTGGCGGATGGGGGCCCCGTGAGCCCCCTCAGCCCCAACCCCTGCGGGCCGTGAGCCCCCTCAGCCCCCACCCCTGCGGGCCATGAGCCCCCTCAGCCCCACCCCTGCGGGCCATGAGTCCACTCAGCCCCATCCCTGCAGGTGAACAAGTGGATGGCACTGAAGCTTTGTGACTTTGGTGAGAGGAGGGGCTTGCTGGGCTGAGGGGCTTGGGCTGCGGTGGGGAACCCAGGAGGGGTCTTTCCTGCTGTGCCCAGCGCCTCTCCTCCAAGCAGGGCCTCTCTTTGTACCTGGAGAACAGTGAGCGCCCCAGGGGTCCCCCGCGTTGTCTGGAAAGGGACAGACCAAGAGTGGGATGGCTGTCAGGTACGGGGTAGGGGAGGGACAGGCCACGTGTCATTCCAGAGAAGCCCAGGACCTTCTCTGAGCGAGAGAGCAAGTTCACCATCAAGTTCTTCACACTGCAGTTCTTCGCCCACTTCTCCTCCCTCATGTACATCGCCTTCATCCTGGGCAGGTAGGGGCTGCCTCCGCCCCCTCTGACCCAGCTCCCGCCTTTTAAAGTGACATCAGTTCGAGACCAGCAGTTGGTGTAAAGGCTATGTCGCTGGACTCCCATGTAGTCCCGGTGGCGTAAACTCACGCTGGGCGTGTGTGTATGCGTGCCCAAGATCCCCCACCCCCGGGGGTGATTTTTTTTCTTTCTATCTCTCTGTCTCTGTCTTTCTGGTCAGTGCATGTTCATTATAGCAAAAAACTCTCCAAAAAAAAAAAGAACCAAAAAGATGCGTTTTAAATCTTTAAAATAATTCGTGCTTAAAACAAGTAGAGACCCTGAGCACTCCCCAGGTCCCAGAGGTGACCCTGGAGCAGTCTGCTGGGTCTTTCAGACTTTTTATGCCCACGTATAGCCGCCGACAGAAGTGGGTCTGTCCTGTGAGTCAGCCTATCTACCTTCTACGCTGAAAATGCACTGTGGGTGTCTGCTGCTGGAGTGTGCGTTCCAGGACGGCCTTTGTGGGGTTCACGTCACCACTTAGTGGACATGTGGGTCCTTTCCGTTTTGGGCGTATAAACAAAGCTGCAGCAAATACCCTCAGGAGCCTTCCCTCCCAGCTGGTCTGTCCTTGGGGCCCCCTTCTGGTGCTGCCCTCTCCCTCAGGCTGTGCATGGCCCGGTCTTCTGGAAGCCCCTCTCCCTCTCCACATAGGACCCCTTGTCCCTGAATGTCACGCCTTCCTCTTCTCACTTTGCTCCCTGACTTTCCAGAAGCTTCCTTCTGTTTCCTTTCTTGAGGGTGTGCTGGCCCCGCTCGCTATGGTGGCATTCTGGGTTGGACGCTGTTTTCCCTCAGATCCCTGGAGCAGGGCTCCCCAACCCCATGGGCCACAGACCAGTACCTGTGTGTGGCCTGTTAGGAACCAGCTGCACAGCAGGTGAGTGGCCTGCGAGGGAGGGAGTGAAGCTGCAGCTGTGTTTGGAGCTGGCTCCCCAGGGCTCACAGCACCGCCTGAGCTCCGCCTCCTGCCAGATCGGCTGTGGCATTAGATTCTCGTGGGAGCGCAGACCCTACTGTGAACTGTGCACTCCAGGGATCTAGTCTGTGTACTCCCATAAGCCATCCCCCCAGGAGAAATGGCCTTCCTCAGAACCTGTCGCTGGTGCCAAAAAGGCTGGGGCCCACTGCCCTGCAGGACCGCTTCCCTCGGGTTGCTGCAGCCCGGCTCTGCCAGCCCGGCTCTGCCCGTGCGGCTCATGGTCTCTCATGGTCTCGTCTTCTCATAGTTCCCGCACTGTGCCTCAGTGCCCTTTTTCATTCAGCGTGCTTCCATAATTCCTCTCTCTCTCCTATGTCTCCAATCCCTTTTTCTTTTATTTTTTTAATCTCCACTGGCTTATTCCCGCCATCACACAAATATGCTGCAATACCTCTTTCAGAGAGATTTCACCTCGCCCGTGGCTTTCGGTCTCCCTCTGCCACCCTTATTCTCCCGCCACCTCCGCGGCCGGCTTTGGCTCTTCTCCAGATCTCTGTGCCCGCTTAGGGACCCTGTGATCAAACAGGCACCCCCAGATAACCCAGGACAATCCCATCACTAGGTTGGGAGTGATTAGCAAGCCCAGCACCCTCTGCTGTGGCAGGGAAAAA